TAAAACCCTAATTGAAAAACACATTATTCGCCAAAACAAGACTTTACCTCCTTTACACCCGTGCAAGACCCGTGACACGACCGTGATCGTCATTACTAATCAAGTATAACAATGGACTTTGGGATGAACGATTGGGAAGAAAATCTGATCGATTTAGATATTCCGCAAACAAGAAGAGAACGAGACACTGTGCAAGATGTGGCAACCGCGTGTACTAGATTGTATATGGGGCACCAAGAATCGAGGTCGGAGCTGAGAGAAGAAAGGGAAGTTCACTGGATCAAAGTACGAGAGTTCAAAGGCGAAGAATTTGAAGACCCGTACACGTGGCTAGAATCGTACGAAAAAGCAGCAAGATCAAACAATTGGACAAACGCAAAGAAATTAAGAATGGTGGTGAGTTACCTGGAAGGAATGGCGTCAGACTGGTATGAGGACCACCAAGACCAAATAGAGTGCTGGAACGATGAGCAGGAACGCCGAGCAAGCTTCGTACCGCAATTCCTACATTACTTTGTGTCAACAGAACAGCAGCGCCGTTGGCGAACGGACTTATTCAGCCTAAGGCAAAAGAATGACGAAAAGGTAATAGCGTACGCTCACAGATTTCGAAGACTGTTGAAGAGGGTTGACCCCAACAACGATTACTCGAAAATCTGCGTGGCAAGAATGTTTACAAATGGATTGAAGGGAAGAATGGCATCAGTGCCAGCCATCAGGGACGCGATCACACTGAGTGAAGCAATCCATGAAGCCAAGCAATTCGAAGACGAAACGGGCTTCGTCACGCACCAGAATTGTGAAGAAATGGGGAGAACGAGGAGAATGGAGAACGATATTCAGGAACTACTTAAACAAGTAAGAGAGATGAAGGAAAGCTACAACAAGCCAGAGGTAAGCAGGCAAGGTACAAGCCAAATGAGAAGCCCGATCGGAAACGAACGAAGTTGCTTCACGTGTGGGGAGAAAGGTCACTTCGCCAAGAACTGCACCAAGAAGGACCGTTCGGCGAACGAGATCAACCAGGTCAACGAAGTTCAGTTTTGCGATGTGGAAAAAGGTAAAAGGACGGAAAGGGAAGTCTACGCTGGTGAAGATCAAGACGTAAGAGGAAAAAGAAAAGAAACATCAGAACCAAACTCCACATGGAATGGACGATTAAGGAACAGGCCGAGACGTGATTCGCAAATGCACGAATACGACGACGGTCAGCCCCTAATCAACATCGATGAAGAAATGGAGGAAGCAGCGCCGACCATAAGGAAGCCGCGACGGAAGAGAGGACCGTCGGTAGTAGAAAAGATGCCATCCTACAACATCCTAGAGGATATCTTTGCAGCACCCGCGAACGTTTCGATTGGGCAAATGCTACAGTTCCAGGGTCCGAGAGAAATGGTGGCAAAAGCAATGCAAAGACCTCTTGTGGAAGTGGAAACAAATTATACCGTGATGAAGAAAAAAGAGGAAGAAAAGAAAGAAGAAGTGATAGAAAAGGAAAAGGAGACAATGGCGACAAGATGCCAAGTAAGGATTAAGGATACAAAGGTAGAAGCAGTCATCGACACTGGAGCGGCGATGAGCCTCATGTTGAAGAAGCTGATGGATCGTCTAAAGCTGAAGATCGACGAAAAATCGACAACAATAATAGTATCTATTACCGGGTTGAGAACAAGAGCGTTAGGTAATATCAGCAACTTGAAGATATCAGTACAAGGAGTACTGATCCCCACACCAGTGCAAGTAGTCGATTCCAAAGATGAAATACTGATCTTAGGAAATGACTGGTTCGAGAAGGTCAAAGCTAGAATCTATATTGATGAACAGAAATTAGTGTTGAAATATGATGGAAAAAAGATCAAAGTTCCCATAACAAACGATAAAGCAAGAAAGGTACCTGAGGACGAAGCCGACAGTGATGAACAGCTCGACGAGGAACAAGTTGATGAAATACTAGATGAGATCGTGTACGAAGAAGAGAACGTGAAAGAAAAGGAAGGATACTACACGGGAGAGTCACGTAGTGACTCAGAGTCCAATGATGATACACGATCCGAGCCACGTAGTGACTCAGAGCCTGATGATGAGACGAGATCTGAGGAATCAAGCCCTGCAGTATACTTCGCCCAGATAGACGACTCAGTACCTCTAATGGGAAGAGACGCGGAAGCAGAAACTGATGATGAAAAAAATAGCGGAGAAGAGAAAGCGCCAGGCGAGATAGTAGAAAAAATAGAAAGTGAGGGTGAGCGTACGGAGGAAGTGGTATCGATCGAAGAACTTCCGACGCCGATGGAGACGACGCAAGAACAAAGAGTAGAAGAAAAGATCGAAACGCTAAAAACGGATGACGAATTAGACGGCGAACAAGTGGAACAAGTGAAAGAAATGCTGAGACAAGGACAGGACGTATTTGCGCAGTCAGTATCGGAGTTGGGCTGCACTGAGATAGTCGAACACACTATCGACACTGGTGAAGCAACTCCGATCAAGCAGAACGCGTACAGGACCGCCCCGGACATAAGGGAATTCATTAGAAAAGAAATCATACACTTGGAGGAACGAGGACTGGTTCGAGAGTCTAGGAGCCCGTGGTCCTCCCCGATAGTCGTGGTACCTAAGAAAGGAGGGAAACTGAGATTATGTGTGGATTACCGAAAGATCAACGCCGTGACAAAGAAGGACGCATATCCCTTACCGTTAGTGGACGATTTGATCGAAGCTTATGCAAATGCCCGATGGTTTAGCACTATAGACTTGATGTCGGGTTATTGGCAGGTAAAGGTACATGAGAGAGATAGAGAAAAAACGGCATTCGTGACATTTTGTGGAATGTACGAATTTACAGTCATGCCGTTTGGATTATGTAACGCGCCCGCGACATTCCAGCGCCTAATGAACACCTTACTAAACGAATTCATTGGAAAATTTGTGATGGTGTATCTGGACGACGTGACTATTTATTCAGGGACATTTGGGGAGCACTCAACACACATACAATTAGTAATAGACAAAATCAGAATGGCCGGATTGAAGCTAAATTTCGATAAATGCACTTTCTTCCGAGCGCATATAGATTTCCTAGGTCATGTGATCGGCAGAGACAAAATTCGACCTGATGAGACAAAGACTGACAAAGTGAAGCATTTCCCGGTCCCCCGGAATCTGCGACAGTTGCGAGGATTCATTGGGCTCGCATCATACTATCGTCGATTCATCAAAGGATTCTCGACGATTGCGCAGCCCTTGCATCACCTGACAAAGAAGAATGTTAAGTTTAGATGGCAAGACGATCAGCACCAGGCCTTTGAGAAACTCAAACGGCATCTCATCACAGCACCAGTTTTGAGATACCCCGACTACACAAAAACGTTCTTGGTACACACCGACGCATCCGGACATGGGTTAGGAGCCGTATTGGCGCAGAAAGATACGGATGGTCAAGAATACGCGATCGCGTATACTAGCCGAGGGTTAACCAAGCATGAACATAATTACGCAACAACGGAGTTGGAGTGCTTAGTGATCATATGGGCGATCGAGCACTTCCAACACTACTATGGGCTCAACCCCTTTGTAGTAGTGACCGATCATAAAGCATTGAAATGGTTACAAACATCAAAGTTGACAGGGAAGCGAACTAGGTGGATCTTAAGACTACAAGCTTTTAATTTTACTATCGTACATCGAAAAGGCGAAAAACATAGCAACGCTGACGCGTTGTCTCGCCTCTAATACAGCACAACCACTAGACACAAAGAAGGGGATAAGGAGAGGAGATACGGACGACAACGCAGAAGAATAAAAAAAAAAAAAAAAAAAAAAATCCGAGGAACAGAATCCAGTCCAGGTTCCGGTGTCCTGGCATTATAATTAAAACAAGAGATTAAAACACACCATATTGAAAGATGGAAACCACGCTTTACAACCAACTTAGAAGATACTTACAGCACCAGAAAATACCGACAGCGCTTAGCACAGAGGAGAAAAGGAAACTACAGAGGACGAGTAAGAGCTATAAGTTCAAAGATGGTATTCTGTACAAGAAAGATCGGAAGAACGAGGGACACCTACTGCACGTAATCCAAAAGCACGAGGTTGAACCCGTCTTGTTCTTGATGCATCAACACCCTTTAGGTGGACACTTTAATAAGGATACTATGTTCGAGAAGATAAAGCCCATTTATTATTGGCCGCGGATGTATGACGACATACGCATTTATGCTCAAAACTGCGATCAGTGTCAGCGTCGCGGGAAAATGCGCGTGCCGGGACCACTGCAACCAATACCTGTTTTAGCCCCTTTCCATCAAATTGGAATTGACTTTGTCGGACCGCTGCCCCGGACACCCAGGATGAAGAGATACGTTATCGTTGCCATGGATTACATGACGAAGTGGCCGGAAGCGGTAGCCGTCGCGAAGGCGGACGCGTCTACAGTAGCCACTTTTATCTATGATGAGATCATTTGTCGTCATGGTTGCCCAGCAAAGATAATCACGGATCGTGGCACACACTTCAAGAATGAGATGATACGGGCATTGATGGAGAAACTTATAAGTAAACACCACTTCACAACGCCATATCACCCCCAAACGAATGGATTAGTAGAACGGTTCAACCGTACCTTATGCGAAGCTATAGCGAAACTAACACAGAACGTGACTGACTGGGATTTGGTGATCCCATCTATTCTCTTTGCGTACCGAATGGCGAAGCATGCAACAACTGGAATGACACCTTTTTACCTTGTATATGGACGTGAGGCACGACAACCGATACACCCGAGTGCGACCGAGGACTTACTGGAGGGGACAATTCTGCAGCGTACGTACGACCTAATCGAACAGTTACCCCAGGCAAGAGGAAAAGTGGTAGAGCGAGTAGCAAAGGCACAGGCAAAGCAAAAGGCTTACCACGATAGTTGCAATACGGTAGCGGCGTCGTTCGATATTGGTGATAAGGTCTTGATGTACCGGGCAGCATTGGAGAATTCCAAAAGCAGTAAATTCATCGCAAAGTGGAGCGGACCGTACTACGTTCACGATATACTTACCAAAGATGTCTACAAGCTCCGGACTATGGATGGACAAGTGTTAGCTAGCTCTGTTAATACCAAAATGTTGAAACGATACTACGAACCGGTGGTTTGGGTGGATAATATGCGCAGGGGCGCATAACCTAAATGTGGGGAGGATATGTTGGCATGAAAATTGTACATTTTCATATAGGCGTTTATAGACTTTTTCTGTACTTAAAATTAAGCTTTGTCGTGACGCGTCGCCACTGATGCATCAGCTTGTGCATCAGTTGGTTGCATGACGCGTCGCAAGTTCGATGGACGCGACGGCCCTACTATAAATAGTAGTGGTTCGCCGGCACTGACACACAACAATTCAACAATTAATAAAATACCATTCATTAAGAGAATCTTGAATAAACTTATACTTACCAATAAAAACCTTAATACACTTGCCTTGCGAAAGTATTGACCGCTGAAGGATCCTAGAGGCACAACGGAATTGTGAAGAGGATTAGTCCGGCAATAAAGAGAAGGAAGTCTATTATAACGTACCTTTGGTTAAGAAAGCGACTCAAGACCCCTATCCATATCAGTAGGTGAGCCTTAGCTTCGGATTAGCAACAGACTCGCCGTGACGGATAACAGCACGTACTGTACAGTATTGTGCGAAAATAAAACGTCACATCCTTTATACTGTATGTAGTATCACATGCCGAGCAAATGTTCACATACGCATATGTAATTGCGAGGGGCCGGTATCTCCTCTATTATTATTTCTCTTACGTTTATGGCTGAGGCGTAAATAAGATCTGGACCGAAATTAAAATTTATTTTACAAGAAGAGAGGCTTCACACTTTTTCACCGACTTAATCAAAAATTAGCATTAACACGGTTTAACTCAAACTCAAAAAACTTTGTTTCCATCGTCGTTATACAGTATAATGGAAGGATGAGGAATCATCATATCACATGTACTGCGTCATGTCACACGCGATGCGATACGAAATAACTAGTGGAATGAGTAGAACGTCCCATCGATGCACATAACGTCACCTACGAAGACAAAGAGTATAATGCGTAATGATTCTGGAATGTGAATGAGAGAACATGTGGACGCATGTATCCTTAAAGAAAAAAAATCAAATTTTAATCACATTTCTTGCAGGTATGACTTTAGTTTTGTTATGAGCAAGTCAGCGGTTATCTATATTTAGTCGCGTATTAAAAAAAAACATGGTTACATTATATAAAATTTGTTGAAAAATACTGTATACGTACGTATGTTGTAACAGGGTAATATGAGACGCGACGGTTATCACGTGATTATATAGAATTATTATGCAAGTTAACATTCGCTTTGTCATACATTCCCAATTGTTCTTGAAAGTACAGCCGTGTTCGCCTATGTAAGTAAAGATGGGTCCCTAAAGTATTTAGCATATAAAATTTACGTCCCTTTACGTCCACGTCCCCTAGAGGACATAA